CCCCTCGCGTCCTGTGTCTGCTGCTGCTGCTGCTGCTGCTGCTGCTGCTGTCCCCGACCTGTCGAGATCTCTCCCTCCCCTGTCGCTTCATTGGTGGAGCTGCCAACCTTGATGGAGGTTTCATAGCGCTGCTTCAGCTGCTTGCCAATCTCATGAAAGGGCAGGAGCTGCCTCCAGCAGGTCTGGACAGTGCAGGAGCCAGAGACACCATGGCATTTACAGGTGGTCTCCACTCCAGCCTTGATTATCTGGTTCAGAGGCAGAGCAATACTGTTAACTGCCATGAAACATTAAAGTGATATAATAAAAGCTATGCAATTTAATGAGCCTATATTTCAAAGAGTAGGAATATAGATTCAATGCTCTTTTATTGTCATAAAAGGGGAAAACAAAGGCTTTGCTACCTGCTTGGAAACTAAGGGAGAACAATGTAACACTTTGTCTGAGATTACATGTCAAGTTAATATTAGTTGGTGGGGAAGTTGATTTTGTTTTGACAACCACAGTTGACATTTTGATTAACTCAACTCAGTTTTGATTAACTGATTATTATGAGAAGTGAGAGGAAATTATTGCTAAGAGGTGCCCACAATATACAGTTCATTCAAACAGCCCTGGGAAACATGAAACTTTAATGCATAAACACTGAACACTATTCTTGTCCTTTAACTGTAAATGTGTTTTCTAAACCCAATCTTTTAGTGTAGTTATTATATCACAACACAAAGAGTATGTCATGCAAGGAAAAATTGTAAAGAAAGTCTTATACAGAGTCATATGTAAATGCAAGGGGAAACATCAAGATCGTCAGTTAAGAAAACACATTATTTTAACACTACCGCCCTCTTAGTAGTCAGCCAAAGTTCACTTAAGCATCACCCACGTGTCCGAAGCAGTGTGTGCAAAAACCAGTGATGGTAACACACTGTCTTAGATTTGGTTTGGACAGCAGCTACAGTTCTTTTCTCAGATTGTGAAAGATGTCAGGAACAGGAGGTTCATATTCATCACACCAGCAGGTCACAAAATCTGATAGGTCAGCTTTGAAATGTTGGGTGGATGCAAAGGCTAGCACATTCCAGTGTCATCCTCCATATGGGAATTCATCTTGAACAAACATGGTGCACCTCAATACATGTGCAAATCACAAAAAAAGAACAAAAACAATGTTGTAAATCTTTTATCACAAATAGAATCTCAGGAGAGGCTGGATTTTGGAGAGCCAAGCTGAAAAGGAAGCGCCTGCACTGGTCATTTGGGAGAGTTTAGTGTCTGCTAACATTTGGGAAGTGTGCCTGTGCTATAATTCATTTTGAAAACCACAATTAAAATGGCTACATGATGAGAAAGGGCAAGTAAGAGAAACAGATTGCAAACATTTGTTTTGCTTGGGCTTGACAAAATAAAACTTTTCCCACTTTTTATTTTACTATTAAAAACACTCCAAGATGAAAACTCCATATTGGCTAACCACACACAACTGCTGAATTGTCAGCAAGTTCCGGGTTGCAAGCGAGAGCAGACGTCTTTACTGCTCCTCTTGTCTGTTCTATGATTTTTCACATCTTCTACATTTTCAAGTCTTTGAACAAATTCTACAACTATTAAAATGCCTCCAAGAGGGAAAAGAGCTAATAAATCAGAAGCGAACGAGGATGTTGAAGCAGAAGAGGATTATATTTCAGCGGCACAAGTAACAGAGATGTTGAGTCAGCAGAAGCAGATGTACACCGCACTGTTGAGCCAACAACAAGACAACTTCAAAGGTTTTGTGCAACTACTTATGGAGACAAATAACAAGAGACTCGACGACATGACCAGAGAAATACAGGAGATAAAAACAAGTTTGCAGTTTACCCAGCGAGATGTGGATGTGATTAAAGCAGCCATGGGTGAACAGAAAATACAAACCAAGGAAACAAAGGATGATGTCTACAAAA